GAAACGTCTGCAAGAAAACAGCCAAGCTCAGAGAACCCCAAGGACTCCACAGTTCAACCCTGAGCTACACATATTCTCTTCTATTGGTATAACCATCATTGTTTTGCTGTGCTTTTTCTAAATATTCGATGCTAGCCAGTCACTCTACAGTACAACAAAATATTAGGCTTTATGAAGGTCCATTGGCATTCTATCACTGGGATGCCCAAGTAATCTTTTCAGATCAAGGTGATTTGTCCCAATTGACATTTGGCATACAGCAACTATAACTACAGCAGAGGCACAGTAGCAGAGGACTGAATTGAACTGGAGAACACTCCTTGAAGTACATATTTCTCCTTCATCCAGTAATGTTCTGTACAAATATAGTATCTTTTTTCTTCATGTTTAGATTCTCACAAAAGTTAAAAGCAATGTTGACATCTTATCCTGTCAATTTGGTATTTATTATACACAAGTTTTATAAGCACTCAAGTGTCTCATTTAATTTGCTCCTCTAAGGGCAGACTGCATTGCAAGGGAAGTTCAGCATGGCTGAAATCAGTGGGTTAGGGAGGGAAGGGAGGCAGAAACATGTATGTGAAAGGTTTAGAAGGGAATGTATTTATTTAAATTTATATGCCACCCATCTCACTACGTCTCTAGGCGTAGAGTCTAGGAATAGATTCTTTATGTAGGAAGAGCTTGTATGCAGACTTCTTAAAAGTTATCAGGCTGGCTTAGCATCTCTGGGACCAGATCTTTCAGAGAATTTTTGCCTGCTAAGGCTGAACAAGTGCTGTTTGTTTCCCTGGTTAACATATCTGTGTGATACCCTTCTGCACTGAAGCTTGAATGATAAAATATTTGGTCAGATTCTGTTTATTGTGAAATTACCTTTGTACTGAACTCAATTTCTGATGAGTTATGTGGACACATCTATAGAGTTTTCTTGGCACAACACAGAAGTGTTTTGTCGTGCCCATCTTCCAGGATGTTTTTTTCAACTTTACAGTCCTGAACTTTCACACTGATACATTAGTTTTCTAGATAAGCCAAAGTTAGCTATGCTCTCTGATTTTTAAAAACTTCTTTGCAATTCAACTTCCTCCCCAGCTGCTTTACTGATGCTTTTTTTTGTTTTACTGTTGGATTGTAACGTAAGAGTCCAACCAACCATGGAACCAGAGAGCCACGTATTATCACCCTGTGGGCCACTGGCACATTGAAATAATGATTTTCAGGATATACTGGAACACAAGGGAAGTTAGAGCCAAGCATACCTCTGGGGGCAGCATGATCCACACTTTGTGGGATCTTTCTTATGGCTATTCCATCCTTTGCCTTACATTTTGCTTGCAAAGGGCTTCATGTCCTTTTTAGGTTTCCTTGCCTGGATTCATTCTGCTCATTAACAATGCAAATGATTTCTCAGACCTGGTGGTAGGTTTCCTGACCTGCTGTGCCCATTTTGGCACAGAGATGGTTATAGTTTCAGTCAACCAAAATATTCTAGCATTGTGTCTTCTTACTCTTTTAATTTTTAATTGTCTTTTTTTTTTTTTTTTAAAGAAATTTCCTTTCTTGGGCCCTAATGCAATTGTGTTGTATTTCCTTGGCAATTTTTCTGCTCACATATAGATTAACCTTGACTATATCATGGATATATTTCCAGCTGACTAATACCATTCACAACTTGGAGTAAGTCCTGGACACCAGTTAAAGCCATATCCAGCATTGTATCCCATCTGGGCAGTTCCATCTGACCATTTAGAACTCTGGTAAGCACCTGCTGCTTCAGAGAGAGAAAATAAGGTATGAGAAAGACATATTTGACATGGGGAAGGGGTGTCCACTAGTTTCAGCCCCATCCACTAACTCTGAAGGATATTTGTAGAAAAACATTTGCTCACTCCTGTTCTAAAGCAGTTATTCAGGATTTCTAGAAACATTTATTAGTTAATTTATATACAGTCATTTGACCAGGAGCTCAAGGTGGCGTACATAGCACGTCATTCAATTTTTCCCCACAAATGTCTGAGAAGATTGGGTTACGAGTAATTCATGGCTGAGGGCGCACTTAAATCTGGGTCTCCCAAGTTAGTCTATTACTTTAACCATTACACCATGAATACACATCTAGCCAGTCCCCTTGAGGATCAGTTTGTTATTTAACACCTTCTCATTTGGATGCATCTCTGATTTTATTCTGTTTGAAAATTGTATGAGGACTTTAGTCAAATGAAAGGCACATTACCGTTTGTTTAGGACTTTGTATTGTCATTCCTTCTTTTGAAGTTTCTACTTTGATGTATAGAGAAAATCCCTGAATGCTCACTTTTATCCTCTGCAGAGTTTTATGCAATAATGCTACACACCACCTATTTTTTCCAGTCTGTTTTTCTAATGCTTACTGTATCTATGCTTTCTTCTCAAGCTCCAACAATCAGAATAAGCATAACAAAATATCAGCTCTTTTTTCATGTCTCTTTATCAAACTGAGTCAAGAGGCTATTCCCAGACTTTGCCCAGAGACTAATATTTTTCTCTTAAAGCTCTATTCTCAGCTATTTAGCTTCTCATCCTTGGCCACCCACTCATCAAGGAAGAGGGAAGTGCAAAGATTTTCTCCCAATCTGTGTCCAAGTGAGATGAGAAAATAAATAGATATAACCTCCATAGCAGTTGGTGGCTGCTTCCTAATTCCAGTCTCTTTGGATTGAAATACCTATAGACAGAAGAAACATGTAAAAGTGAAGGAAAATCACTTCAAGCTGTTTTTAAATACCAAACCAAGGACACATCATCAACTAAATCTACCAGGAAGAAGTTAAAGGGAAATCCTAAATTATTACTCAAAAGAGTTGGGGAAATCTAAGGAAAGATACCGAGTTTTCTGTCACATGCTCTTATTCTTTCTGTAATCTAGATTCATGCCAAGAAGGGAATACTTGAAGGGACTCTATCAGAATTAACAGAACTCTGGTAATGAACAAAGGCTGCAGGCAGCAAAGGCAATGGTTTCAGATTTTGTATATGTTATTTAAAATAGCCAAGTTCACAAAAGATGTTGAGATCATTGATATGAGGTTTGTCTGGAGGCAAACAAACCTCATATCAATCCTCCCCCTCCCCCTCCTCCTAGCGTAAGCTACCCAAAGTCATTCTGGAATTGGGCAGCCTCCAAATCAAATAAATAAAAAATAGTTGTTGCCTTGAACCTAAACGATTGCCTTGAATGAAACGTGACATGTCTATTTCACAGAATGGAGCAACAGTTTTTCTGTTCTATGAATCTCAGTAAAATGCCCATTATCCAGGTGTTCTTTCAAGAAATAACTTGAAAGCATCTACTCAAAATATTGCTTTGTATATGAACAGGAAAAAAAAGACACACCATGAACAATTCACTTCAAAAGGTGTTTTAATTTAGAAATGCAGTTATATACATAGAATTGAAATTAAATTAAATTTTGTACAAATATTAAAATACTATCATCACACCCACTGTAATGTACAGGATGTATATATATATATATATATATATACACACACACATATATCCATCCTGCACAGCATTAATCATAGAATCTTTGAAACCCCATATATATATATATATGAGTACCATTCTGTAAATAAATTCCTTAGTGATGCAGTTCAGATTACAAACAAATAAAAAGCACTGAAGGCAACCAGGTTTTCCCCTTGTGTATCTCCAGCTACCTACAGCCTGTCATCTGCATTACAGTGTAAATGTGTGTCTGAATGTTTGTTCTAACAGGATGTTTGGTCTGAACTCTGTGAGCTTCCATGAAAAATCAAGTGCAACAGTCAAATTTCCAGCAGAAATTGACAGCTACGCTCCTTAGCTCACCGGCTGGAAAAAGCAGTATTCCATGATGTTAACACAGAGGTTTTTCATATCCAGCTGCATTTCTTCTGGTGTAAGCATTGGGATCTTAACAACATGACAGAGGTGATCAAATTCAAAAGCAATTAAAAGCATCTAGGAAACAAACCAGACATGGATTTGAGATTCATAAAATACCACTAAATGTGGTGTGCCAATTAAAGGTTTCCAACTTGCCCCTCTCAAAAGCACACGCTACTCCTTTTGGGAGTGTGTGTGATACATATACAATAGTAATAATGGAAACTGAAAACTGATTCACAGCATTGCAGTTGCAGCTACTGTATACAGTAGTTAGCATTAAAATGTTAAGGAAATGCATGTACTTCTCAGGGATTTGCAGAACACAAACCCTGGGACCTGAGGCTGACCACAGATTATTAGTTTATGTCTGTATGTTTACTGGCATATGATGCAGTAGTTGCTGCAAATCCAGACATCATCTGTCATGTAAAGTATGAGTCAGATTTGACTCATGGCCTGTTTCTATACTTCTGAACAATATCTGAAAATTGTATGCATTACACCATATTTGAAAACAATGTGAGGACACAGTAGTACTAATTTTTTGCACTGCAGACACTCTTACCTCACAATAATGAGGATATAGGATCACATACCACAGTTGTGTATGCACTATTACTCAACCTAGCACAATTAACAAAAACATCTTTGGTTCTGGAACCCCTTTCCACACACACACCTCTTGTAAGTATTCTAATTAGCATCATGGTTATTCTTGTGTTAGTACACTTGACATGAGTAAGCATTACAGGTAGCAAACAAAGAAAGAAAGCGTACATAGGTGAGATTGCTGGATACTAAAAGAAAAGCATTTCGTAGCAAGGAAGTAGAAACTACTAACCAAAGTTTGTGCAATTAGATTTTTCAAGCTGCAGGTCTAGCTGCCCACGTATCCAGTGTCTGAGGGCCAATAACACTCATGTAACCTTTTAATCAGGAAATGGACTTGCAGACCCCTCACATCTGCCACAAGTAGCAGGAAGTGATTATTATAAACTATTTACTTATAATAAGTAAAAACTGAATCATTAAAAAGTGCTCCAGTGTTTAAAAAAAAAAGTTTTGTGGGAAGAGGACTCAGAAGAGTGCTTAACAGGTGCAGTCTGCACTTAAGCATCTAGTATTGTTCAGTACTCTTCTGTACTTTCCTCTATATATTTTCTAGTCTTACTGTATTCATGCCTTAAATGTGCAAGTTTAAAATATTAAAAAAAACAAAAACAGATTCATTCTCCATCAAGCTTCTTCCTCCACTTCTTATTTTATATGAAACTTCAAAAGCAAGGGCATGAGAATAAAAAAGGAATCTGGTAATCCTGTTTGTTTTAACATGCATGGATTCTCAAGCTTTAGTTTTTCCTTCAAAAGAGGAAACACTAAGAAATATGTCTATTCTAGAGTGGCAGCTGTTTTAAGACACTGATGTTATGCTGACCATTAATGAAGGAGAAAAATGGGGTGCTCAGGCCCTACACCTTGTTAAATGGCAGCTTTCTATAGTGTACATCAATCCACTTGATGTGTATTCACCACAGAAAAGCAGCACTGCATTTTAACTTAAATATCTTGCTTTTAGCATGCAGCAGGTAGAAGAGTAAGGAAAAAGCTTTTCTCAGTGGAAGAGAAAAATATCCTGTGGTTAAGTTCTACACCTGACATAAGATGTGTATGTTCACCAACTCAGCCCAGCAATGACTACTGGAGTGAGAAAAACCTCTGTAATCAAAGAAAAATCTATTGAACTAGATGGACCAGTCTAAGTCACTTTAAGGCAGCTTCATGGGTTCATCTCCCAACCAGGATTTGTAATAAAATGGGGGATGGAATGGCAAGCATTCATTCATCAGAACAAGATTAACCAGGAGACTCAAGTTTCAGAAAAGGCTTACATTTTAAAAACCAGAACCACATTTTATTCCTGCAAGGCACAAATTGTGCTCTTGCAGCATCTGGTTCTCCCTATACAAGGCTGCAAGAAGTTAAATGAATAATTAGGCACCCAAGAACTGCACAGTGTTGGAGTAGCAGCCCTTCCAACCTAATTAATGCTCTTTGATGCTTCAGAATTTTAATGTCAATTAAAAAAATATTCTATTCATTTACATCTTAAGCTTTAGAACAGATACCCCAGCATATACTTAACAGCTATTGGTACCTTTGCTTTCTATGAATTTGCCAATCAGTTCAAGAACCTGAGAATGTAAGATTTTAAAGGGGAAAGAAACCTACAATTTTGAAGATGGTATCATTTTTATTGTTGATCTTCAAAATTCAGTTTCCCAGAAAGGAAAAGCTATTTAATTCTTGCCCTGAAAAATCACAAGATCCAACTATAAATTATTCAGGTAAAATATTAAGTTCCAAATTCTTTATAAAGGTTATTTATACGAAAGGTTTCCAGAGACTTAAGGATGCAGTACATGGAACATGCTGGCTACACATTAAAAAGGGAGGGTGCTAATGCTTTTATGCCCTCCTTGTGTGGTTCCCATTGGCATCGAAGCTGGCAACTGTGGGAACAGTGCATGACCTGCTCCACCAAAACCCTTCCTTCTGCATGTAAAGACTGGATTATAAATTCTGCCTGATGAAATGCAAATATGTTATTTCAGAGTTCTTACATAAAACACAATGGTTTAAAAAACTGCACAGCTGAGTGAGAAAGAAGACTGATATTCAAGGCCAATCCAGTCATATGAATCCAGAAAAGAAACCAGCATTAAACGTCACTCTATACTTTGCGACATCTCCATCCTGACCAAAATATTTACCACTGTACTAAGCCACAATTTACTTAATCTTGGTTTCTTGAATAAGTTCACAGACCATGGTAAACCACTTGTCAAGATTTACAAACCACAAGAGCTGGGTCTATACAGCATGATAAACATTATTATGGTTATTAGGTTGAGGAAATTATATGCCCCTAGCCATTAGGATTGTAAAACTCCTTCAAAAGAAGTGCTTCTAAATTTGTGGGGCCTCATTCAAAGCTCCTCTTTTCAAATTGGTAAAGCAGCTATAAGGGAAAAACAGGCAGAGATAGCTGGAAGCATCTTCCGAAGCAGCAGCACAAGCTTGGGAAAAAGGCTGTTTTAGCATGGAAAAAGTGTTTTGTGCACAGCCTTGTGTCTGGAAGCAGCTTTTTCAAAGGATTTGCACAGCCTTATTAGCCCCTGTATAATATTAGTTAAGGCTAGTTCTTCCTGAATAACTTTTGCTTGCTAATTGCTATTGGAACCTCTTCTGTGTAACAAGACCTCAAATATAACTGATACTTATCTGTTTACTTACAAGAGAGCAGAATCAAAGCCAAGGCAATATATATTGCTACCAATATCAGCTCCAGGAAAATCCAGAATTGTTTGCCTCTGTCATATTATTAAAAGCAAGCAAATTATTGGTTTACTCAGTACTTCTGCACATCCTGAAGGAGGATAAAGAACCATGCAGATTGCTAAAGTTTTGTCACATTGCCACAGCAAATTCTACTATATACCTTAAGATTGTCATATACATCACCCTACAAATTTGCAAGGCTATATTCACAAAGACTTTGTTTTTATTATTTGATAAAATGCAAGCTGTGGTTTTCTGAGTATTTGTTTTCAATACTAAACTTTTGTTGGAATACTCATAGGAATGCTCATAGTTCTGAGCTTGTGCAGACCATCTAAAGTCAGCGATTATGGGCAGTCGTCCAAAGAGGCAGAAGCTATTTCCCAGTCCCAGTTCTGGGACAAAATGGAGAACTGGTACTTAAGCTGCCTACTTCTGTTGTACAAATCTTTGGGAAATCACACAAAAAGTCTTGTTTTGGGAGGTTCACTTGGAAAAAAGCTATGGAATCAGTACTTCCATAATGTCATCAAGAAATGTTGTTCACAGATAGCTAGAAAAACAAGAGCAAAAGCAGGCTTGTGCGAGAGGATGTGAGGTAAACAAGCATGTTCCCTGCATAGTAAGAAGTTTCTAAGTGGAAGTAGCATGCAGAAGGCAACATAAAAAATAAAGTGTGTCGAGGAGGGGAGGATCTTGCATCTGGATAAGACAGCAGCATGGCTCTTTTTTAAGGCAGGCTATCACTAATTCATTCAAGGCAAATTGGACATACCAATTTAAAAAGCTAAATACTTGCTAACCATGATCAATACTTTAAATTGATAGTTGCTAGCTGAGGAAAGGGTTAAAAAGCAGGCCCTGGCAATACCTCCACAAGGACAGAAATCAACCACAGCAAGAAAATAAAGCAGCTATGCCAAAATTACTCTGTGGTGGACTGACACAGAAATGCAGTGACATGTGATAATGCTGCTCAAACACAACAATTGACACTCTACTGATATTTGAAAGAGACTAAACCAATCATATACTCAAAGACGGAAGGCTCTGGACCAACTGTCATTTGGCCAATGTATTGCTGACAGGGTGAGAACGTGGGCTTAGCTATGCAAGTGTTCTTAAATCTGGCTACATACAAGGGAATTACTCAAAGCTTTCTGCAGCAAGACAGCCCTAGATGTATGCCACAGCACGTTCAAAAAGATAAGGAAAGTCCTAGTGGGTGTGGTGGGAACGAATAAAGGAAAGAATGAATGCATATATATATGAGAGACTTCACCCTTGGGGAAAACAAAAAAACATGTAGCAGCCTAAGCTTTTTTTCTAAAATGGCCAGTAGCAATTCCCTTTAACACAGCCAGCACTGCTTATTAATGTGTTGATGTGCAGTTACATTATGGATTATACGATTTTCAACACCTGAGGTCTACAACCAGTATGTATGACTCCTACAAACACCCTCCTGCTCAGACCATCTCGAGGCATTCCATCTTGCCTTCATAATGTAGTTAATAAATAGAACAAAACTATCTGCACCAAACAAAGCAAGCTGTGGTTTGACCCTGCTTTCTGAGAAGTCCAGAAGCTAGCAAGGCCTATGAGAAGTTGCAACAAGCCAGTGTAAGAAGGAGCAAGGCACAAGTAAATAGCAACTCTCCAGAGACTGTACTCAAAATCATCTGGCTGGGAAAGAGGAGAGGCTGGAGGAACTTGAGTCTATAAACATCTCTGAAGCCCCCCCCTTTAATGCTTATAGAATGAGATGGAGAAGATGGCTGGCATTCTGTGCACCCCACTGATGCACTGAAGGAGGTGTCTTGGTAGCATCCTTTGGAACTTCAACTAAGGGATATTTTCTGGAAATATTCAGGGTGCAGCACTTCGGGGAAGGGGAAGCCAGCATGGAGTGCTCATCATCCCGAGAAGGAAAGTAGAGAGTGTAGACTAGATGAATGCCGTAAGGCTCATGCCTCTTTCAACAATGGAATATCTGAATCGAGAGAGAAGCAAAAAAAAAAAAAAAAAGAACGTTAAATAACCTTTGTGTTCAATTACAAGTTTCAAAAGCAACCCAGCACAGCCCTGATAAAGAGTCTGAGAAGTCTATGAAGTCCATTCACTTTACCAAAGTTCTTATTTAACCAGGCCAAGTTTCTATAACAGTTTGGCATTCTTTAAAACTTTCACTGGCTATGTTTTTGCAAGGCCTTTTCCTCAGAAAAGCCCTAAAGTCTCTAATATTAAGAGCTTCTTTGGATTGACTCAGACAAGAGAACAAAGCTTATTCATTCTTCCTAATCTTGGGATCAGACTAAGACTCAGAAGGAACAGCGAGCACTGTACCAGTCAGAGACTGATCTTGCTCTATGTCAATTAACTTCTGCTCTAGAGGAAACACTGTAAAATAATTGTGCAATATGTCACATGGAGCTGTAGAATAGGCAAATTTCCACTGGAGGAATTTCCCCCTTCTGTCACCTCCTGGGATTCCTTCTGCCACCCTCCTTGCTCGATGGAAGATACCATGCCACCTTGCCATCACCATCCAGTCATTCTGTGCGGTGGCTTTGCCACTCTCTTATACAGTGGCTGGCCGAAAAACAAAATTGTTTTTCCCCCCTCACTTTAAAAAGAAAATGAACCAAGGAAGAAAAAGAGCACAACTGAGGCGGCAGGTGGCTGCAGGTTTTTGTGCTTGAAGAAACACTGTCCAGCTCAACAAGCAGAAATGGCTCAGCGGTGAGGAGACACCCAGTAATGCAGAAGTGCTGCAGAGGGTAAGGGAGGAAGGCCTAAATAAAGCAAGCTGCCTTCTTCAACAGGTAGCAAAATATCCTTGAATTTAAAATGCATGGAAGTTCAGTTTTGCATTCCCAAACTTCTGTACCAAAATACATCACAAGAACTACAGCTGAAATCCAATTATGTACCTTTAGAACCCTGTATGACTGAACCCAAGATTAGGGTTTCTGTTTGGTTTGTGCGCTTATGTGAAATGCAGATAAAACTATAATTAAATCTATTAATGGGCAACCCTATTGGGTCGTTAGGGAGAGTATGTAATGAAGTAGATCACTGCATGGGGTGCTGCAGAGCTTGATACTTTCTCTGCTTCTGTCTACATGAAGCCCCTGGGTGAGATTATCCAACGGCACGGGGTGAGGAACCATCGGTATGCTGACGGCCCCTAGCTTTACATCTCCACCCCAGGCCAATTAAGTGATGTTGTGAAGGTCCTGTGTCAGTGTCTGGAGGCTGCAGGGGGTTGGATGGGGAACAACAGGCTGCAGCTCAATCCAAGCAAGACTGGGCGGCTTTGGATCTTGGGGCCCCCTGGCTCTGGGGACTTTCCATCTCGTTCTGGGTGGAGTTGCATTACCCTAAATAGAACCTCTGTGGGTCTTGCTCGCTTTTCACAAGGTCCTGAAAACATGGGTTTGCCAATGGGCGTGGGGACCCAGGAGTGTGGTAGAGCCTGTGTAATGGCTGTATTGATAGTTATGGATGGATGTGACTACTTCAGCTATGAATTTTATTATATGGTTTATATATGGTTTTATATTGTTTTTAACTTGCTGTATTGTTTTGGTGTTTATATTGTTTTTAATTGTTTGTGAGCCGCCCAGAGTCATATACTGAGATGGGTGGCTATATAAATTGGAAAAATAGCTAGATAGCTAGATAGATAAGACAGCAAAAAGGTTCTTAACAGTTTTTTTTTCTGAAGACAATGCTACTCTTTGTAATTTCTCAATTGAAGGAATAAATGGAAATAGCAGGATTTATCGACATTTTTATTCCAGTTATAGGAATCCAGATGCAAGACTTATTTCACATTACTTACCATCCATATACTCCTCTGAAGAAGCCAGCGATAAAAGGCTTTGTACATCACTGTTTTCTGAGTCTGAAGTCTCTTTTTGCCTGGGTTTACTACTAGATGTGCCAGCCACCCAGGAAGACGTGGTAGCCTGATGCACTAGAACAGTTTCTGAGTGGTGAGAGCTGCCAGCTTCACACAATCCAGAACGTCCAGGGATTTCATCCTCCCTAATAAAGCAGCTGGGACCCATTTGGTCTGGTGGTGGCTGTTGCATTTCCCTTGCCTCACTCTGTCCAGCTCCTTCTGAAAGGACAATCTGTATCCGCGTATCTGAGGATGGTATGCAGTTTCCAGCACTGCCATAGACAGCTTCTTCGTAAGATGGCAAAGCTACCTGAACTCCATCCACCATAATAGAAACCTGGTCCCCAGAAACACCTTGATCACGCCTGTGTTTGGATTTTAAAGAAATATTTAAGCACGATGACATAAGCAGCATTTTACAGAGCAATAAAATCTACAGGATTAGCAATCCTATTTGTTTTACTGTTCATTCAGAGGTAAAGGCACTAGTAATAAACCACTTCTTCACTTTGGTTTTGTCCAAATATATTAAGACCGCAATTTTCAGAATTCTTGAGCACCATTTCAAACCAGTAGCACCACTGGATATTTAGCAAACTGTAATGCCAGTGTGAGAGCCAGTTTGGTGTAGTGGTTAAGGGACCAGGCTAGAAACCAGGAGACCATGAGTTCTAGTCCCATGTTAGGCATGAAGCCAGCTGGGTGACCTTGGGCCAGTCACTCTCTCTTAGTCCTAGAAAGGAGGCAATGGCAAACCACTCTTGAAACCTTGCCAAGAAAACTGCAGGGACTTGTCTAGGCAGTCGCCAGGAGTCAACAATAACTCAAAGGCACGCACACACACACATAAGCCAGTGTATCTGTAGGATATCAGATAGGAGAAGGCTTTAACAAGCCTAAGGTAGATCAGGATATGGTTGATCTCAGGATTATTTTCAATAAGGTAAGCCGATTCTTTAATGAGCAGCACAGACTTTCCCTCTTAACGTGGATGTGCTTGTGAAATTACTGTTAACTGAGGTCTGGAACTAAAAGCAAATTCCTGCTGAGATGAACCCTTATTGTTTAATACTGAGGGGCTAGGCTCTTCTCTCTAATTCTGGTTGATATATCC